TCTTTTTAAAAATCTGAAAACGGGGGCACCTGGGTGGCTCAGTCGGTTGAGCATCCGACTTCGGCTCAGGTCATGATCTCGCGGTTCGTGAGTTCGAGCCCCGCGTCGGGCTCTATGCTGACAGCTCAGAGGCTGGAGCCTGTTTCAGATTCTGTGTCTCCCTCTCTCTCTCTGACCCTCCCCCGTTCATGCTGTCTCTCCCTGTCTCAAAAATAAATAAACGTTAAAAAAAAAAAAATTTAAAAATCTGAAAACAGCCTTCAAGGTCCTGGAATCTAATACCCTTGGTCTTTCTGTGGTTATCTCTAAACTCTGTTTCTAGGTCTCATTTACTCCCTCTTTCTCATCTCCCTAATATTAGAGTGCCCTCTGCCCTAGTCTATGAATTCCTTCTCTTTTCTGTCTATATTTATTCCCTTGATGACTTCAATTTTGCAACTCAAAAGTGACATCAACATGCTGACATGCTTCCAACTTATATCTTCAGCCCTGGTTTTCCCAACACCTCTGCTCCTAAAGCCAGCCTCAAATCTCTACCTGTTCCTGACACATCGCCATGTGGGGCTCAAGAAAGTACAGGGCCTAACACACCTGGCTCCACGTGCCCATCTGACTGCTGACTCCTGCCACCCTCTTCTGGTTCACCACTCACCGAATGAGACTTTTTCAGGTCATCTTAAAAAAAAAAAATAGTAGTATCTACAGATGTCTAACATTCACATTCCTCATTAATTTTCATCTAAAACATTATCATCATCTGATATATTTGGTAGATAGATGAATAGATGATAGCGCAAGATAGAAAGATAGAGAGCAACATTTACAGAGCACTGTATTTGTGTTTTACAAATGTAATTAACAAACAGAATCTGCCCAGCAACTAATAAACTAAGTACTCAATTATCCTCTTTTTACAGATAAGTCAAATGAAGTATAGCTCAAGACCACCCAGCTAAAGTGTGGCCTGCCAAGGCTGGGATAAATGCTGGCCATTGGACTCAAAACCGCAGCATCTCAACCACTAATGTTTCACAGGCTTTTCATACCTATGTATATATGGATGTATATACTATATACATATTTTCCCATGTCTTCCACTGGAATATAAATACCACTTGGGCAGGAATTTTATTATGTTCACTGTCTTAACCCCAGCTTCTAGAACAGGGGCCTGAAACATAGCAGGCTGTCAATAAAATTTTATTGACTAACGGGAACTCCTATCTCTTTCAAACAAAATAAAAATTGATGCTTATCAAAGAAAAAACTTTTGCTGGCTTGCAGTACAATAATAATAAAAAGACACTTCAGAATAGTTAGGGAAAAAATCTGGATGTCTGCTGGCAGAGTTACAGAAAACTTTATGCAATAAAAGGAAAAATGAATTTTAAAAAATCTGAACATTTAAAATTCTAAGTCATGTTTCCCAGAAACGGTCCTGTCATGTTCATCATTATATGCAGTATTAGCATTAAGGAAAGGGCAATAAGATTGGTAAATTCATAAATCATCTCTGTGCTTCTACCTTGAAAAAATTAAATAGAGATAAAGAAATAATAAAGCCTTAAACTGGGACCATGGGAATGGAATGAAAAACAAAAAACCATCTGAGACTAAGGGTGATATTAGCAGGGACCTGGATTCACTGAATTTGTTGTCATAGACAGATTTCCAGGTTTCTACCTTGAGTGACCAGGTAGAGGGTAATGCCACCAATGCATCAGGATCAAGGTGGACATGTTGATTTTATTCTAGCTGTGGAACATGCAAGTTGAGATATCAAGATGACTATTAGACAAGAAGGTCTGCTTTCCAGGGCAGAGGTTATAGCTCCCTGGCTTGAGATTCATCAGAATATGGAGATAATACTTAAGACCCAAGACGGTATATACTGGGTGCAAAGAGTTAGGGAGAGTTAGGGAGAGCCAGAGTCATGCCTAATACTTTGTTGACTTTACTTTGCATTGTATGTGTTCAATAAATATTCATGAATAAGGCAATAATAGTGCTAATGACCTGCCAAGATTTAGACAAAAATATTCTTAGATTCTGGCTTTTACGCAAACTTAGACACAGGGATTTTCTGGAGCCACACAGACCTCTCTTTCCCTCCCTTTTTCAAGCTGGTTTTTGAGTGGATGGCTACATGTCATGTGTTTCAGACCTCAAAAGTCTACACAACTGATTTTTAAAAAGAAGTGACTCCTACATCTACAATCTATCAGTAACACAAGTAGTCACTGAGTACCGTGGATTTTCAAAGGCTTTCTGTTAGGGCCAAGGATGAGGAGAAAAATTTGTGTATAAAGTATTGTCCCTATCCTCAGATAGTATAAAATGCAATTTGGAAAGACGAAGACAAATCCACTAATATTTAAGTAACAATTCCTAATAGCCCATGTGCTAAGGGAATAGCAGACAAGAACAGCTGCAGTGGTTCAGAGGAAGAGAGGCATACCCAGCTCCCGGGAAACGGGGCTAATCTGGACCAAAGAAACAGGAGTGAGGCAGAGAAAGTCATTCAGGTGCATAGGTCTGAGTAAACTCAGGAGAGTCTAAAGATCAAGGTTCCTATAGGAAACAGCCTACAAACACAACTGGCAGCAGAAGGGTGGGAAAGCAGAGTGGGAGAAATCAAAGCTGCTCTCAAAGGTCAAGTATGATTACACACACTCATAGACACACACACACACACACACACACACACACACACACACACACACTGTAAGTCACTCTGGAGCAGAAGCATCACCTTTTCTTTTTCCTCATTTTTGTTCTTCTTTGCATCTCCTTCGAGGGAAACTCAACACCTAAAACAGGGCTTCCTGTTCCTGCCTAAAAATGTGAGTCACACCTAGTTTTCTCCGTGAGTCAGAGCTCTTGGGAGTGAAGGATTTCTGGACTCAGGACATATCAGGGAGTGGTCAGCACTGTAAAGGGAGGGCAAGATTTAGGGAGCTCTACATTTTTCTAGAAAGAAAATCCTAGAGATGCTTCATTTCTTGGGGATTCTCACTCCCAAATGAGACCGGTCACTTTGGACAGCAATGGATCATGGCTTTGATAAACTACTGAAAGTCAGATCCAATGGAGATGTGGCTCTAAGAAACTTCCAAGCCCTAGTCTAAATCCTGGTCATTTTAAGACCCTTTTGGTATAATAAAACAGCAACGAGCTGAGGATTCAGTGGGCCACTAAAGACCCCATCCGTGATACTGACCCATAACATCTTCATCTTTCACCAGAAGTCCTGGATCCCCCAGAGAATGGGTCACCAAAGCAGAGACTCACCCCAGCTCCACGTGTTCACAACCTCGGGAATGCTGCCCTCATTTTCCTGACTTCACCTAAGCACCCCCACCTCTACCACTGAATGCATTTTCTGGACTCACCTGAATGAAGATATATTCATCCTGAACAACCAGGGAACTGATGTCAATGGAGCGGACAAAAGGCCCACTCCGAGTGGTCTCAGCACATTCCTGGATCCTGCAGGTGAGGTAGTGAGCATCTGAAATGGGAGAGCGACACTTAGACGCAAAGAGAAATGGTGACAAAGCTCTCATCAGTACACAAGGCTCTACCCCATGGGAAATCAGTGATACAGTTCAAAGCAATGAGATTTCATTCTTCACAAAATTTGTAATAATTATTAAACAATGGCAATATCTAGATGAGGCAAAGGAGTGGAAGAAAGAGTTAATCTTACATCCTACTGACAAAAGGGTAAACTGGTATAGATTTTTGGAAGAACCAATTTGAAATATCAGAATTTTAAATGTGCATATATTATACCAGCAATTCTAACGCAAGGAATGTCTTCTGGAGAAACACTCGTATATTTTCCCAAAGAGTCAGGAGCAAAGATGCTCACTGGGGTATTGTTCATAGCAGTGAAAAATCAGAAACAGGCTAAAGGTCCCTGAACATGTCAATGAACTAAGGTACACATATTACAGAATGCTATGCTATAATTAAAAAAATTAACTAGAGGGGTGCCTGGGTGGCTCAGTCACTTAAGCAACCAATTCTTGATTTCGGCTTAGGTCATGAGCTTATAGTTCATGAGTTCAAGTCCTAAATGGGGCTCTGTGCTGTCAGCACAGAGCCTGCTTCAGATCCTCTGTCTTCTCTCTCTAACCCTCCCCCCATCATGTGCACACACTCTCTCTCTCAAAACTAAACATTAAAAAATAATAAGTAGATATGGACACATCCACATCCTGATTTCTCTAGAATCCTTGTTCCTTTTCAAATAACCTTTGAAAAAATTACTTGGCAGTATGGTAGTATGATACAATTATGTCCCCCCAAAACCTTGCCTTTATAAATGTATAGGTTTGTGCCACAGTGCAAAGAAAAAGTTTTAAAGGAACCCATAAAAATTAGCTATGATTACTTTTGGGTGAAAAGAATGGAAATAGTGTTGAAGTGAGACCTTTCCTTTCCATATTATATACATTTTTATTATTTTTACAATAAGAATGTATTCACCTATTACTTATATAAAACCTATAAATCCTCTATAATTACTTGTAAAATCTTCGAAAGATCTCAGCAGGTCAAGAGCCCCTCAAGCAAACCAGGAACATGACAGCAGAAGCTGTTGCTGAATGGGAAAATCTCTGACTCTAAAATGCATCCCAATTATGACTATAGGGTCATCCAAGAAAGATAACTTATTCAGTTATTTGTTACTGGGGAAAAACTACAGGTAAGTCTCTGTAAAGAAACCTGTGTATATATGTGCTTTTATTTTTTTTTTAAACGTTTATTTATTTATTTTTGAGATGGTGGGGAGGGGCAACGAGGGCAGGAAAGAGAGAGAATCCCAGGTAGGCTCCGTGCTGTGAGCACAGAGCCCAATGCAGGGCCCAAATCCACAAACCATGAGATCATGACCTGAGCCAAAACCAAGAGTCAGACACTTAACTGACTGAGCCACCCAGGGGTCCCCGTACATTTGCTTTTAAAATGGTTATAATTGGGGGACCTGGGTGGCTCAGTCGGTTAAGCAACCGACTCAGAACATGATCTTGTGATTTGTGAGTTGGAGCCCTGCATTGGGCTCTGTGCTGACAGCTCAGAGCCTGGAGCCTGCTTTGGATTCCATGTCTCCCTCTCTCTCTCTACCCCTCCCCTGCTCACACACTGTCTCTGTCTCCCAAAAATAAATAAACATTAAAAAAAACTAACTAAATAATAAAGTGGTTATAACTGAATAGTACTTAAAAGTAGTAAGTGGGAAAAATGAGAAGTAGGAGTCATTTCAGTATTAAAAGTAGAGAAGTCTTTGTTATCACCTAAAACCATGTTTATTACTACATGTATCTAATGCAATTGCTCCCTTGAATGTGTGCACAGGTGTCACGGGTGACAGGGAAGGGGAGCCTGCAGGCAGCCGAGATAAAGGCAAACAGGTTAAATAAGAAAAAAGCTAATTGAGTTAAAACATGAATACATTTAATTATCCCTGTTTATCTTTTTTTTTTTTTTTTTTTTAGTTTATTTATTTACTTTGAGAGAAGGAGTGCATGAGCAGAGGAGGAGCAGAGAGAGAGGGTGACCAAGAATCCCAAGCAGGCTCTGCACGGTCATACAGAGCCTGACATGGGGCTCAGTCTCATGAAGCATGAGATCATGACCTGAGCCGCGATCAAAAGTTGGACGCTTAACAGACTGAGCCACCCAGGCACCCCTCCCTGTTTATCGTTAATTAACTAATTTACTGATGGCTTCAACAAGTTTTTCTGGTGTGTGAACAAAATACTGGGTATTGCTTAGGTACAAGGAATACAACAGTGAATGAGACAGAGGTTTTTGAATCAAAAGGACCTGCTGACTAGGAAGGGGCTTACTCATATTATTTGCAGCTAGCTATTCCACACATTTATGTATAAACATGATGCTAATGTAACAAACACATGTGGGTAAGAAATGAATTCATTATGTGCTACATCCCTACTTCCCGAACGTCCATAGCTGAACAAAGCCTATTTGCGTTGGTATTCTTAATCCAAACATGTCAAACATGGATCTCATTCTTTCTGTCAGCAGTCTTTTCACCCGCCCGTGAGCACATGCCTCTTAACTTTTCTTTCCTCCATACGCCATGTAATCCAGTTGGTTCCCAGCCCCGACCATTCTGCCTCTGACATGCTTAGTCTCTCCTCTTCTCTCCACAAGCCCTGCCACTTGCCTGGGACAAGTCCTTCTCATCGGTGTGGCCTGTTGCATCCATTTCATGACTAGCCTGCATGTACATGATGGACTGGGAACTGGATGGACCCGAGGCAGGGAGCCAGAGTCATCTCTAAAACCTAAACCTGACCTAGTCTCTCCCAGCTTCAAAACAGTTCTGAGTGCCCTGGGACAAAGCCCAAACGTCGTTCTATAGAACGGAAGGCTTTTTACAAGAAGCCGAATAAAATCAAGTGCCTAGGGAGGCAGACAAGTAATGTGTAAGAATAAAATGAGCTGGGTGAAAATGACAAACAGCAGTTGGCACACGGCCTCGGCGGCTGGGATCACTCGGGAGCGGTGGGGACTGCAGTGAAATGGCCAACACTTGACTCTTCATGGAGGAGAAGCTCCTCAGTGTCTGTTCATCATTGGCACACAGGAGTAAGATGTTCTGTGTCTTATAATAAATCTAACTGTCTCTATTTTTTAAATGTGAAAATGCCTGATTTAAAAAAAAAAAAAGGACAGCTATTCTACATTTAAAATAGGGTGCGGGCCAAATACCGTAAAGCCAAACAAAACAAGCCTACATCCAAACATGTCACCTGTTCTGTAATTTGGTCCCTATCTTCCTCTCCAGAGAAGAGACCTTCTTCCCCCTCTTCCCTGCCCCATTAGCAAACCCAGCTTGTTCACCGTTCTGTACGTACAGCCTGCCCTTGACTTCCTCTTTGTCTCTGCGCACACAGAAAGCTAAGAATGGCCTGGCTTTCCACTTCTGGGTGTGAGAGCGAGGGAAGGCCGAGAGCACAGGCTGTGCCGAGCAGCACATGGCCTGCCCACCAGGAATACTCTTGGACCCACAAAGCCTTAGTAATTTTCTCCTAGAATAAGGCACTAAAAGCCAGTGAAAAGCTGCAGTAAATACACATAAAGAAACCACAAGTGTTGACATGACAACCTGCTTCCTTCTTGCCAGCCAGTGTCTCAGAAAGCTCCTTATACTGCTAATCAAAGGTACGCACAGGAGGACATCTGCTTATCCCCCGCCCCCCCACAGGCTCATTTTCTACTGTCTGTTTACTATTCACTCTCCCATTTGGACACTTTGGGGGAAAAAAAAAAGAATCAAGTGTATTCAAGGCCACCCCAAACAAAATCAAAACCTACCTAAACCTTGGCCCACAGCAGGTGAGCTCTTGTGCCAAACTCATCCTACTTCTTGGCTCTCCCCCTGCTTGCTACTGCCCAGCATGGAACGAAAGGTCCAATTTAACAGGAAAGCAGCACTGAAATGAGTTTTTCAAATCCACTTAAAATTCAGGGGACTTGCAGTCTTCAGCTGGACTCATATATTGGAAGTCTCAACACTCTTTTTTTTCAAACATACAGAGACATGATAGTAAGTGCTAAGCTACCCACTGCCTGGTGAAAACTCAGAATAGAGAAAAAGGGGAGACTCAATTACCGGGCAGGCCTGGCTACCAGATGGAAGTGACCGAGGGTGACGAGGGACTCAGGGTGTCAAAAGTGAGCAGGGGACACCAAGAGCCTCACATTTGCAAAAGTTCTCAGATTCGGGCTTTGGACGTTATCCTGAAATGAAGCTGGGTACAGTCATGGAGATTTAAAGATGAAACGGAAGGATATTCATCATTTAACTTGAATCCCAAACTAGGCTTCTAATACCTGTGGCCTTTTTGTTTGCTTTTAGTAACACCAAACGCCTGATAAGATGGCAGGGGTCCAGAGCTCTTGAGCATAGTGTGGTATTTGAAAGCAAGGCCTCTGAGGTCACGATCTCGCGGTCCGTGAGTTCGAGCCCCGCGTCAGGCTCTGGGCGGATGGCTCAGAGCCTGGAGCCTGTTTCCGATTCTGTGTCTCCCTCTCTCTCTGCCCCTCCCCCGTTCATGCTCTGTCTCTCTCTGTCCCAAAAATAAATAAAAACGAAAAAAAAAAAAAAAAAAAAAATGAAAGCAAGGCCTCTGAAGCCAGACTGGGCTGTGTTCAAGTCCTGGACCTGTTACTTGCTTATCACCCTTGAGTAAGTAGCACGGCTCTTCATCTGTGAAATACCCGCAAGTTAGTATCTGCCTCCAGGGACTGTCATCAGTATTGAATAAGATTATGTATGAAAAATGCTTAGCATATCATTGGATACATTTTAACAGACTAATAGATGGTACCTCTTTCTTAATATGGAACGAGAAGGAAGGGAATTTAACACTCGGCATCTCTCAGACCCTCCATTAATAACAAGTAATGTTTGTCTGTGGAGAGTCAAAAGACCATATCACAGGTCCTACTAGTAAAGTCATAGTCCAAATT